TACGTTGGTAAAAGACAGATAAGGTGAAGCACTGTAACCATGAAAAAATTATCGCTTAAGTGCACATTCTATGCCGTGTTTATGCAATAGCTGGATATTTCGGTAGCATTAAGCAGTACGATGTGTTTCCCAATTGGATCCGCTGACGGCTGAGACACATGCTGGTACAGAGTAAATTTAAACCGGTAACACAGGCCCTAACCCGCACCACCGTTGTTGCATCAAACCTCCCGAAACATAGAGGACTTGGTCAACCCAGTCAACAAAACATACGACGCGGCAAGGTTCAATTCTGAGTTGGAGGAATCTGCCGTTATCACTCTCTGTTGTAACCATGAAGAGATTCAATGGCGAAGCACTGAGTTACCTGTATTTTGAGAGGGAAACAAGTGAAGTTCATCAAACTCGTGTCATTAGGACAAAAACGGAATGTCGCTGCGCTTAATGAACCGAGCTACGAGTTTGCCTTAACGACGACCTCTGAGGAACTGCTAGGAGTGCGCGCAATGATGAGGGTAAGCAGCTAGCTAGATAGTAGCATCAAATCCAGCGTGGAGCAGAAGGCCCCCATGATTTTGAAGGCGCCGGGGAAGCCACTCTCGGTACAGTTACAACCCAGGCGGCGAAATGGTTGTGGAAATACTAATTCATCTTACACACACATCCAGGCGACTTACCTAGAGGCTAGAAAGCACAACAAGTGCATCAGTAAAGCAATGGTAAAATTAAACCGCAAAAACAAGAGATCTGTCTACCACAAATCAAGGTATACTTACCTATTTACGTTTTGTGGAAAAATATACATTGGTTTTCCAACGAGTAGTCTATCCGACAGATTGGGTGGGACATCATTCGACGTCACCCATAAATTAGTACTTAAAAAGCATCCGACATCCCGTGTTCGACGCCTTGCAGATTAAGGACACGACACTAAGTGAGTCAAGTCGTTCAAAAGAAACTATCAAGCTCCTAACGACGTTCGAAGTATGTCCTCGAACAGATAGCAGAAGCCATTGATATCCGGCCGGAGTAGGGCATTGAGAAAAGACTTAGTATGTGTCAAGACTGCCTCAATTCAACCAAATTGTGACCTGTGACCCGCGGAATCATTGCGTCTATTTAAGCACAAGCGCAAAATACTCAATGCTATGTTGTATCCAACTATTTTATCCCACATCAACGTCTACAAGCCTGACGATGAATTCATAGTGACCCATTGGAACTAATTGTGTTGCGTTTATACGTTATCATAGTCGTTTCTAGCTTGTGGTCACACTGAAACACCAAGCTCGATAGATTATTGTCTGTTCGCTCTTGCATATGTTCACGATTTTTATCGATGACCAAATCAACAGTGAATTTAACTACAAATGGATCACGGAAAGCGAGAGGGCTCGACGACCAAGGAGGATAGAACATACAGTTGGCAATTGAGTGTGAGTCCTCATTTGGGAAGTTCACCCACTTAGGCTAAAATAGTACGAAGATCGGTACACAAGTCTTTCATCATTGTGGAGGACAAGTTTAGATGATTTGACAAAAAACTCGGCAAACAAGTCATATCGGAAACTACAGAGAAAGTTGACTCAAGCACCTTTCAGTGATCGTTGACAAATTCAGGACGTTGGAAGCTGTCCTCGACCTCCAATTCCTAGCTGTTATATACATGTAGTCGGGTACATATGACATGACGGAAGGTTACTATGGATCAGCAGCAGTGGTTTTCTGTTAGGCATTAGAACTCATATTGCAAAGTTTTGGTCAGCTTGTCATACATAAAAACTTCGGGATCATGTTAGCAATGTGAAGATCGCTATTATCTGCAAATATATCCCTGCGATTGGACACTGAACGGCCATTCTGTGGCATTACACCTTGTATCTGCCAACCAATTGTCAAAGTACCCCCCCCCTAGGATCTCGGAGACAAAGTAATTCTCCGTACCTTAAGGCTAGCAACGGCGCATTTATCTTTTGAGAGTGTGGTAGGTAAACATTCCCCCCCCCCCAACTTTGTCACCCAGTAGATTGAAAACGCTCGAGGCGTCGTCTTGAAAACGAGCCGTATTACTCCTCTTGTCAAGTGTGGGACCAGCATCGGAGAACAAAAGACCCGACAGAGATAAGGTGTTGTGGGACCAGGTGGTAACACTGTATACTGGGTGATGATACTAATCTGTTGTAACGCTTTTTATTCCATCTCTCCTTGCCACTGACAACTGTTGTACTGCTTGCTTAGCTGCCCTGTGAGACTGCGACTGTCTGACTGCTCAGTCACTGGCCCAGCCAACCAAAGGAATACAAAAAAGTCAGACTCGGTAGACAGAAAGAGAGAGTATATCTACAGGATAGGTTAACTCTTGGTAAACGAAACGTTAATTTAGGAGGTCAAGGTCACTCACTCTTCTGCGCCAGTTTTCTATCCAGTGTGGGAATTCCGCTCCATGGACCTATCATATTGACGGAATAGTTCGATTCGTTTGACGCGGGTTCGTATTTGCTGGCCGATAAATTCTCACTCGATTCCCAAATTCAACGGAATGGTCAAACCTCATAGCATACCGGTGGTGATGACCTTTGCATGTAGCGGACAGCCTACGTGCTCTGTTTAGCCTTAGTATATTCGCAGTGAGATAACCGGAGAAATGGGTCTCAGTTCAGTCCCCACTTTTTGCAAAACCTGTTGAGCTGGAAGTTCGGCATCAGGGTATATAAACCCGACGTTTGCTTAAAAAACTGAAGAAACCCCCAAGATTACTGACCACCAACGCTTTGCGAATGCAGTCGACGGTTGTCAGAAACGGCGCTTACAGACAAAGCGCTGCTTGTTGTGCTTGGAAATTAGCTCTCACGTCTCGTCTCAAACATCCCGGGGTTCACCAAGCGAAATGAATGCGACCCAAATGCGGTTTTCTTTAATATGCAACCAGCAACGACAGTGCGAACCTTTCTCTAGAATAACAGGGCGTATCTGTCTGTTAGGCACCATACGTATTTCGATGGGACACTTAACTAGACGAAAACAATGTTTAGACGGAATAACGGACTTGGGAACAACGGTCCGAAAACATTACCCCTTTCTCTGTCTGCTGGTAGCCGAGTGGTCTGCACGCCTAGTTTGCAATCGTAAGGTCACCGGTTAGAATCCGCTTACGGACGGGTATCCTCGCGATATACTCAGCCCAAGCGCGAATGATGATGGTCGCACAACAGCGAAGCGCCGTTACGGTGTACAGCTGGCGATTTATTATCTTTTTATAAACTACGCAAACATTACTAGCGAACGGGTTATTTAAACACTACGACGGATCCCCTTATTATCAAACAGAGCGATCAAGACGCCTACAGACAAATCCATAGGACCGCAACGTGCATCACTTCGATGTCACTATTCACCTCGAATGTGTGCAAAGTGTGATTAATAAATAAATAGGCTTCCTTAAAATTTGATCGGTTTGTTGATGCTTAGTCTGTGGCTGACTGAATAAAGCTACTTGACATTGTTACCGATCTGCGCGAGAAACATAACGCTCACCTGATGAGTGCGGCAATTTCCTCTGGATTCCGGTTATGCAATGCAGGATTTAAAACGGCCAGCCTTATTATCTAGCGTTTTTGGTGTTCAGGAGATTTCGTAGCTACCCGAGACCCCTCCCATTACGAAAACAAAGTCACGGTAAGGTAACATTAGCATTTGTCTGTTTCAGACGCGGTTATGGGGACCGGATTGACTGACAGTCACTTTAAAGTCAATCGCGGCAGTGTCACAATCCACTCGCGCAAAGGTGGAACTGCAAATAAAAAGATTTCGCTTCCTAGAACGCACGGACTGGATGAAGTAGACAGAGATCAAACTACGATACGCACACCGTTCAGTCATGCAGAGGGCTGATCTCGAACTAAAAACAGGGGCGGCAAGGCCTTTAATTAAACCCATTAGGCGAGAATTTCAACTTCTAACGACCAATTGGCGCAAAAATACCGGAAGATGCGTCAGTCAACACCTAATACGCCGGCACTACGGATCGGTATCATTCCGGAACTTCATTAACCAATTCACCTGCTTCTTGTGCGATGGTTACCTCGCCCCCAACTGGCAACTCATCCATCCAGGTGTTAAACGCTTGTTTTTGAGGTCGTTCCTGGTAAAATCTAAGTTCCACTAGGCGCTACGCATCACTGCAATGTTCGTGTACTTGACATCAGCTGTGCATGAAGCCAAACCGAGCATAAGGATGCCATAGTCCCCTCGTGTCCGTTACCGAGATGCTGTGCGAATGGAACGGCACTGATGAGCGAGTGAACATGCAGTGTAGTGAGCCAGAACACATCACTGATGCTCAGTCCTAATGGGAGGCTTAACTGCTATTTCAAGAAGCATTGCTTGGGTCCTCGAAGTATCAATGATGGTCATCCAACGCGCGCCTGAGAGGGTAGTACGCGAAAGAAAATGGATCATTCTGGATCGCGTGCAATGCCATTCAGAGCAGGTCACTCATGCAACGTGAGAAGCACGGGATTGGGAGATCGAGCGCAGACGTTAAAGTTGGTAATCTATCAGTACCAGTGTACGCGGAGGCACTGATCACCCCGAGGTGAACGGGAGTCGATTAGAAAGAGATGAAGCGCATTTTACAGGCGACACTAAGTTAGTAAATCGATGTGCAACAAATTACTGGAGTCCATAGATCGCATGCTCGATTCGATGAAAACGGGCTTGAAACTGCGTCCGAATAGAAAAGTACGAGTCAGTAGAGAACAGCTGCCTGTAGTAAGCATAAACAAACGGACATGACGATGTGGTTGGTAAATGAGGTTGCGCGTTGATTGGATATCAAATTGGTCAAAGTACAGAATAATGTAGGTTCCACATGACGACTATAGATAGGCAATAAAGCAAGATGAATTTTGAAAGTGTTCATAGAGTGCACGTATAGGAGCCAGAAAATGCCAACAGCAGTGCGCACAATGATGTACTGAGGTTAAAGGAACATGCAAACCCTAGGAATCGTCCATATTTGGGGTCTCTGTGGTAGAGTCCATCAATTTCGTCTTAACTGAGTCATCGGAGATCAAACCGGAATTCAAGCCGTGTAACTCAACCTCACCGGTGGGAGACAATGGAACCACTGGTCGAAGCAGCTCTTGCTGAGTGACCTGGGAATCGAGTTCAAAGTCTACCTCGGTCTGTTTGGTCACCGCTATCAGGGAAGCATGTTCAACCACAGAGTGTGTTGGGGAGTTGGTAGCTTCAACTTGCGCGGAATCATCTTCAGCTCCCGGTTCCTCAACCAACTCGTGTGGATCACGGTTTGATACATCCTCGAGTGCATCGGTAGCATCCAGGCAATGGCTACCTGACGCGTCAGATGAAATCATACACGTGGTGCCCGAGTCAGTGAAAGATAAAAGCACCTGAGAGGCCACATCTCCGGTGACAACATCAGTGGGGGACAGTAACTGCTGTGGTTGTATATTGTAAGCAATACGATGAGAATGTCCATCCAAAGTTCCTCCAGCGAGTAGGGCAGTAGCTCCCAACACGGAGCCCGATTGTTGCAGGAACAGAGTGGGCCGCTAACGCAAATAGAGATGTGTAAAACAAGCAAAGACAAAAAGTAGAAGAACCACAAAATTGATATTTTTCTCTCTTACAAACATATATATATGCACAAATATATTACCTATGAACAACACGTCGAATGAGTACGTAAAAATACACAGATTGGAAACCCTGTCAAATCGTGCGGGTGAATAAGGTTCACAATGCATTAGATAATAGATATTCTGAGTGATGCAAAAGCCAACATAGTATAGTCCGTTGTCAGGTAATGGAGAAAGCACAATGCATGCGGAGAACAAGTGAAAAGAAGCGGGACACATACGACAGCTGCTGGCTTGTGGAGGATCCGAGGCACACTCGGTGGGGACGAGGGGAAGACAGACGATGTGACACACACAGAGCAAAGGGACGCGGGTCCAGAAAGAACGGCAGTGACAGTAGCGGAAAACCACGACGATATTGCCTTGGGAGCAGCACACGCACGCATTCACAACAACCATCACGTTATTGCCTTCCGACCTTCGGGGTCTATGCCACACACAGAGACGATGGGACATGGGGAAAGAGAGGGTGCAGCGTGTGATACACAAAATGATTGTTACGATAGGAAAGTGTGACGACACAGATAGCCATAGCATAGAGAGAGAGAGAGTTCAATCCATCTAGAGAAGCAAAGCCACATGCGAGCGTGCGAATATAGTAGTGTGGACAGTGTGTTGCATGCATGCATGGGTCAGATAACATAATAGATGCACCGATGGAGAATTTTAAGCATCATCGGGGGCACTTACGCCTGTGGATGCTTCGGGCATCTAGGGATGGTAGGGGGGTAAGCGAAAACGACACATGGCGTCTACAAAGGATTCACACTAAGGACAGGTAAGAGTTTGGTGTAAACATCGGCAAATCACAGCACCGAGGTAGGCTACATTGTGGGAGATCAGCTAATGTGAAATTGGAAAATGCATAAGCAGTACACCAATATGCCGTGCTGATGCCGCGCGACCACCACTTCCATGTGGGTTAGGGATGTCGCGAGGCTGCTCGCACCTATGCAGATTCGAAAAGGTGGCTCTTGAATGTCTTTACCTTTCGTCCAACGACCTTGGCTATGCGAAACCAAACGATAACAAGAGTATGCTGCTATTTCTGTCATTAATCTGTCAGGGCCCAACAGTAGAAAGCTTAAGGCGACATAATGACATGTCACATATGCCTAGGTTGGGTAAATTTGATATTCAGTGGAAGCACTAGCCCAAATCACAGTGAAAAGAATAAACATTATCATATAAACACGCAAAATCACTTGAGTTCATGGAAACGAAGTAATTGGTACACTGGAACTGCGCCTCATCAAATCACTAAAGTGGAACCGAAACATACCTAAGGTCGAGCGGGGATTTGAGGTGAGGTGAGGAGACGAGTTCGCCAATGAATAGACAACTCAGTGGCCGAAGGGGTAGAGGTTGTAGCTGAAACTCCCCATAGATCATGGGTTCAGGCAGCAGAATCTGCTCTACCTCTTTCTATCGGATGTGTACAAGAGAATGACAGCAAACATTCCTCCGATTTAGATACGCGCTCAAGAACGGAATTGACCAAAGTCCGTTTCAAACTGAATCACAATCCAGATTGTGAGCGCGTGTCGCAATACACTCACACAAAATGAGTGCTTCAAAATGACGCCACCAAACAGTCATTAACCGTTGTGTCAAGCGTAGCAAAAGGGACAGAGATCTTAATAAACACCCCAATGGCCCCGGAGTTCCATACCTGCTATCTCTACCTAATGAGATCGAATAAGCGAAACGCGTCGCGGAGTGCAGTTACGGCCCCAGCAATCGAACTGACCAAGGTTAACTCTACCGATAATCGCACTTCCCATTGAGATTGCGTATCGCAATCCATTCACATAACGTGGGCTTCAAAATGACCCCCAATCAGTCATTAACCGTTGTGCCCAATGTCGCGCGTCATGACCCGGTGGCTAAAGCGTTAGAGCTTTTAAGTAACATCCCAACGACACAGATAGCCATAGCATAGAGAGAGAGAGAGAGAGAGAGAGACAGAGTTCAATCCATCTAGGGAAGCAGCCGTCCGTTCAACTCTCCTATATGGTTGTGAAACCTGACCCATCAGGTCGACAGACATAAAGAGGTTCGTCATATTCGATCGTCGCTGCCTTCGCAGCTTAGCTCATGTCTGGTAGCAGCACCGCGTGAGCAATGAGCGTGTTCGACGTCCCGTATTTGATGCAGGAAGAGCGAGTGAACCGCTCAGCACCATTATATCACGCACGAGGCTCCGATGGCTGGGCCACGTGTTGCGCATGCCAGCACACTGACTCCCGCGGCGTGCATTGTTTGCGCGTTCACACAGTTATTAGCCTTAGTAACCTCGATCGCCTTAGCAATCAACCTTTGGCTTGTTGCTAGTAATCCCCTCTTAAGTATCTCGACATTGTCCCAATCAATCTCGTGTTCTGCGTATAACGCATGTACGGCCACCGCTGAATCTTTTAGTTAGGCCCTGTATTCAGGCTCATTTTTTGGTGGACGAGAAACGTACCTCATGTGTTCTGCTATCCTCGTGCGTAGATCTCTCGCTGTTTGACCAATATACACGTGTTCACAGTCTTTTATAAACACAATTTGTCGTCCTATCTCTTGGAAGCGGATCATTCAAACACACAAGTAACACTATTATCCAATGGTTCATGTTATTGATTGAAATCTTCACCTTACTTTCCCATAAAAAGCTAAGCCAATTGTGTACCGATTCACCTGGCCTGAAGAAGCTCCTGTGTCAAGAGTGAAACGTTGCCATAAAAAACCCAACAAAAACCGATTTGTATTCAAAACATTCTGAAATCAAAAGCATTGTTTGTTATTTCGCACATGCCATTTTTTAGATTTTTGTCGTTCTCAATCGTTAGCATTAAGCATCCAAACATAAACAATTATGTACACAGATCTTCCACTAGTTTCGATTACGAGCCATATCTTGAACTGTTTCCAACCGTCGGCGCTCCTCGTCCCTTGATCTCCAATCAGGCAGACGTGCGGACCTAATGGTGGCAAGAGGTGAAGTCAAAGAGTTCATTTGCTGTCGCCAGGTGGATCACCGCGTGGTCTCTCCCAGTTGAGTCCCGCACGAGCGAAAAGGGCGCAGTGGGGCGAAGTATCAGCTGACATGCGTAGGACGTGAGCTAGCCATCTTACCTGGCCCAGCAAAATCAGCTTGTTGGACGGAATACACGTATTTCCAAGACACGACGTCTGACTTTACTGTTGCAGATGTGTTGTTGCCACCACACACGACCAATCCTCCTCAAGGCCGAGAGTCGGCGCATTTCGTCTACGCGAACTGGCCATAACTCGCTTCCATATAGCAGCACCGCCCGAACGGTGGTACTGCAAACACGAACCTTTACAAACAGGAAGATATCGCGACGACGTCACGAGTGTTGCAGGTTGACAAACGTCGATTTAGCTTTGGAAGTGCGAAGAGAAACTATTTTTCCACCAACAGACATACAGCTGCCGAGGTAGACAACGCTATGTACTTGTTCAAGCTGTGTACCTTCAATAATGAGCGTGGGAAGGGTTGAGTGCCAATCTCGAAGCAGCACTTCAAACTTCGACGGGGCAAAGCACATTCCGTACCTAGGATGCCTCAATCGCCAAATGGTCTAGAATGGTTTGCATGCTCTGTGAGTCGTCACCAAGTAAGGTGATATCACGGGCATAATCTAAGTTGGTCACTCGCTTACACGGTAGTAGCTGTAGACCAAAATTTTGGTAACTGTCTAGAACTCTCGACAGGACGTCTTCAATCGCAAAATGAAGAGGAAAGAGAACACAGGGTAGCCTTATCGTACACCGCTAATGATAGCGAAGGATGACGAAAGGCTGTCATAGACCCTCACACTGCTGAAGATGTGGAAATATAGTGCGCGTAGAATGGCCGTGTACGTAGCTGACACACTTCCTTAGCAAACATCATCATAGTGCAGGTCGATCAACCGCGTTGAATGTGGCACGTATGTCCAAGGATGCAACAATGGTAGGCCTCTGGAATTTTGGCTAAATATTTCTTAAGCAGAGCTGATCTGCATGGTAGTAACATGCAATTCAGTGCAAACTGAGTCCTGTTATATCCCAACTAGTCATTCAATCGCTAGAGAAAAGCAGCCACTAGTGTCTACCAATGTGAGAGAAACTAAGTCACCAATCTATGTGGAAACGCTGGCCGCGTTCCATCTAGGTGCCCCTCTGGTACTAGCATATGGGTTGCTGGACCTATCGCTCAAGTAAAAGCGCAATGTCCAAGTATAATTCAGGCAAAAAGTTGGCGCCATCGCTCGTTAAATAGTTAGTTAACTGCGATGAAAATTGGTTTACCAACTCGACCACAAAGATAAATTAAGAGAGTCAAATGTACAAACTAAACACAGGGCCGAAAAGCGCTCCTTGTAAAGTTGAGGCAGGATTTGATGCTAAGGAAGCTACACCCTGTGCGTGCGCTAAGCCGGGTAAAAGACCCTTTCGAATGAGTGAGCGAAGGGACGGGACCGTGCTCCGATTTGTAGGGTGACAAACGCAACGATTAGGGATAACTCAACAAAGCGCATGCACTAGACCGTCGCAGCGAATTCAAACTTATCCTGAATCAACTGGATACCTGTATTGTGCGTGTCAAAGTGGAATGTGTGCAACAGTGACTGCGTCAAAACACTAAGGGGTTGTAGGAGTAGACAAGACAACATATGCAAGCTCTATAAGCTCAGTATCCGCCGCTTAGACCTGAATCGACCTACAGTGTGCATATGTTCAGGTCACAAGAGACATGCGAGATCAAGACAGAGGGACGAGTGTGAGGAAGGACGTACTTGAAGCTGAACCAGCTGGGTTCGCTGACCGTTGGCGTCTTGCACGATAGTGGGTAGGGAGAATCCTCCGGCAGTCGGGGCGACCACTTGAACTACGGGTATGGAATTTCCATTAGCATCAGTTAACAGAGTACCAGTCTGGCCAGCGGCGGCAACAGCGGCAGCGGAAAGCGCGTCTGTGCTAGACGTCTATGAGGAGGAACAAGTATGTGATTGTAAAAATAAGGAAATGCGGAGAAGAGATTGATAGCACGAATACACCATGGAGGATAACAGTGGAACTGTAGAATATAAATAGGCATCAGCAGTACGCCGGTACGCAGTACCGACGCTTCGTTGCCGCGCAATCACCACCGGTCGCACGTGGGCTAAAGATAATGTGAGGGTAGCCCGGTTCCTAAGCAGCATCAAACCCGCGCCCTCGGATTACAAGCAAGACTTGTGATCCTTAAGGCTCCGGGCTGGTACGGTGTAACTGTACGAGGCGGTAGATACTAGAAGGTGATTTTGAAGAGCCTCGACGACCTCGCACCTATCTCAGTAAACACAACGAGGGTCAAAAATCATTGCGATGTCATTAACACTGATATAGAAATGTGGGTAACTCAGGTTGTTCAGCTGTTAGACGAACTGTTAATGACAATTACGCATCGCTACAATTACACTACGCTACGCACTGATGACGTCACCATGAGTGGTCAACAATAACCCTCCGGCGCCCGCATCTTCACATTTCGTCTCCACTGCCTCCATACACATACACGCACACAGAGACGGATGTGCGCCAATCAGTCATATAAGTCCAGTCCGTGACTGCCCTGTTTCTGCACTTACTCCGCACAGAAATATCTGATGCGGCAAGTAAAAGAAGGCGGAGTAGTAGTAGGTAGTAGTGTGCATGCATGGCGATAATCGGGCAGCTGTATGCGAAAACGAAAATTAACCCCACCGCAATGTCTGCAAAGTCATGTGAAAAAGAGGCGAAGGTGCGTGGCCCGTAGCCACAATTGGAGCGACGATGGGGCCTATTGTGAAAGTGACTGATATCGATGAATTCCCGGTGCGAACAGGTTCACTCCATGAAGAAATAAGTGGCAGATCCGCTGGAGAAATGAATGAGTCAAAAGGAAAAAGGGGATAATCACCTGGAAATGCTGAGGGAGAAGTTGGATGTGAAATGGTTGTCCGGAAGCGGCTCCGGCCGCGCCCATGGGAAGCTGCAATACGTACTGAATGGGGGCGGCGGCAGTGGCAGCACTGGCAACGGTCGTGTTTGCATTGGAAATAGCAGTGGCGGCGGTACTTGTGACGGAAGACTGGACAGTGCCGGTGGCGCTAGTGGAAGGGATGGTTGCAGCGAATTGGATAGTTTGTGTCGGTCCTTGTTGAACGATTGTTGGAGTAGTTAGAACGTTCCGCGTTTGCGCAATCGAAGCAATGTTCGCACCACCTAATGCGATAGCCATCGCTTGGGACTGAGGAGAAGAGACATGAGAATCGGCAGAGCCGAGTTGGCCTGAAGCACGACCGTTCGTTGCTGATACGTAGGTGATCGGGGATGAGGTGTTCTCAGATTTCATATTTACATTGGACACAGCGTTCACTGCAGAGCCAACAGCAGATGGTGGGGATGTTTGTGGGACCTTGACAACAGAAGTAAGTGGGGAGTTTACAATCACATTTGAACATGAACAAATCGTTTGTGAGAATTCATAACGCAAGGCCATAACCGAATCTCAGCCGCTATCGCGCTGATAGGCACAGAAACATGGTCACCTGTTAAACGAGTGGATAATTTAGAGGAAGAGAGGAGGACGGTGAAAATAGGTGTCCAAATATAAAACATCAATTGATGTAGCTGATGTCTAAATAGTTCACGCCTGGGAACATGCGTGACTCGGCAGCTGTTTTGCAAGTGTTCACATAGGCAAAAAATTAGTAGCTGTCGTGTGCTACCACGTACATTGGGTATCTGACTAGGGCCTGGGTAAAGACCCGAATGGCATAGCCAAGTAAGCACAGGTGAACCCGTGACCACGCTTCAAATCGACCGGACCGGATGGAATTAACGTGAGCAGTGTGTACATTTATTCAAATGGTACGCCGCTCGGTGCGACAGCCAAGTTGGTGAAAAAGCGAATGAGATCTTTAAGAGAAGATCCGTAATTTCTTCTAGCTTAACCACTTTGGATGATGCAGATGGCGCGATTAATGCTTTTAACTTCATGAAAACAGTAAAATAATTTTCAATAAGCAAATTTGACAATATAAAGAGGATGATGCTGATCGGTATGGGTGCAATTCACGACTCGAAAAGAGTGGAATATGAGGCGACGCAGTTATGGCGCAATTGGTCCTTGACAGCAGTACTTAGGCGAGTGACGCTCTGTAACTTGGAGATATTCGGGGACAGGCGAAGCGAGACTGAAGTCTGAGTAACAAACTATCCGCTACTAAATATTGAGTCCATCGCGACGAGACTGGACCTTAACGTGGTGCGATGATTCGTGTGTCTCAGTGATCCATTGAGCTATGCTGGGTGGTGCATTTTGCACCTTCAGAGCCACTCATACCAGATTGGTCAATGGTTAGAGGCTAGACAAACTCAGTCTCCCGGCACTCCAGGTTGGGGGTTGGAGAGAGGGTGGCTTCTTACTCCATAAAATGAGCTCTCTGTAGTCCAGTGCCCAAACCCCGGTGCCTTGCGGTAAGGTTTTTGAACCAAAGGCTTCGGTTGAGAACCCTAATTGTTCTCCTGTCTAGACCTGGGCAATCTGACAGTATCCTGCCCACGCAATACAATGAATCTTTCTTCTAACAATTTCTTGACGCTCTGCCCGTTGCAAGGATAATCAACGGCACCCTATCTGCTGCATCGAACAGAGTGGATAGGGGTTCGGATGCTAGTGCTCAAACCTTCCCGTCTTCTTATTCCCCCTTCTTGCGCTTTTTCATTTTTATCGTCCCACTCCAACTACTTTTATCCCCTCCCATTTTCAATACCCCAATTTTTGGCCCACCCCTACCTTGCTTCAATAGTCGCTTGTCCTATAGTTTCAAATCACACACAGTCGCACGGCATCGCTCCAATCCAGTCGTGTTCAACCAAGCGGACAACGTCGGTTCATCCGTTTCCCTTTGGAGTCCTAGCGTCTCACTAATACTGGCATGCTTCAACGTGCGCACTTTGCTACAGGCAGCACTTCCCTGCACACTAGAGACCCAATCGATCGATATTCGCTGTTTATCAGAAATCCGCCTGCAAGATTCGAGCTCCGTGCTTACTCTGCGATCCCCACATGCGACTCTGGCGGCACATTCTCATTGCGCCTGCCTGGCGATGATGCAGCCTCAAATGCCGGTCAAGCTGGCGTCGGCATTGTTTCTAGTCCCCGGGTTGAAGCTGTCCTGATCGATTGGATCCCAGTCGACAGTCGGATACGCGCCGTTAGATTAGCTGGTTCGTTCCATGCTACGAAGTCGAGCGGGAACAAACGGAGTCTGTTTGTCATTGCGGCCTACGCCCCAACAAACTGTAGCACTGACTCGGTGAAAGTTGATTTCTATCAGCAACTTCACAATCCTCTTCATTATAGAAGCACGGATACTGTGGTGTTGGCTGGCGATCTAAATGCCCAAGTCGGAAAATTGTCCTCTGATGAGCTTCATCTGGACGGCCAACATGGTGTAGGCTCCCGTAATGATAACTGTGAGCGACTGATACAGCTGTGTGAAGATTCTCGTCCCTTTCTCGCGAGTACAAACTTCCGACACAGCACCCGCAGAAGCAGCCATGGACGCAAATCGATCATATCGCAATCAGTTACCGCTGGAGAGGCTGTGTCCAAAACCGTCGCTCGATTTGGAACGTGGACTCTGACCACGTACTTGTCTGGGCCGACCTCCGGGTGCGTTTCGGTGGACGTCCGCAACATCGATGTGAACGGATTGACACCAGCCAGCTGGCGAAGCCAGGTGTTCTGAATGTGTATCAAAGTGCGCTGACATCTGGGCTGAGTAAGCGCAAACTAAAAACCGTCGATGATCACTGGTCGCGTATTCGTCAAACGTTACTATCATTAGGCATGTCTTCATGTGGCAAAGCAAACTGTCAAACTGGACATTGGGTCTCTACACAGTCTCTGGTACTTATGGATGCTGGCCGACGTATTCCGACTGGAAGCGAATACAATAAGGCTCGTAAAAAACGACTGCGAAGCCCCGTGGTCTCATCGTGCCTCAGAGATGGAAACAGCCGCTACCGTTGGTAATCATCGTAAGTTATCCCGTCTGATACAGGAAACAGGTAGCAGGAGACCTGGTGTTAGCGAGACCATACGCGACGAGAGTAGGCAGCCGATCCACAGCCTGTCAAAACGCTTGGAGCGTTGTGCTGAACACTTTGCAAGGCAATTTAACCAACCTGAGTTACCGCTTTTTGCTTCGGGCATTGAGTGCCCTTCTCCCTGTGTCGTCTCCTTGGATTCACCCTCAAGCGCAGAAGCCGAATGTGAGATCAGGCTGTTGAAATTGCATAAGGCCGCAGGGGCAGATAGAATTTCCCCAGCCCTCTTCAAATTCGGAGGACCTGCTCTATTAGATCATTTACACGAGTTGCTAAAGAAACTTTGGGAGTAGGAGACTGTACCGACAGACTGGAGCCATTCCGTCATTGTCCCAAATTTCAAGAGAAACTCCCGTTCGGAATGCGACAATCATAGAGAGAGCAGTCTGATCTCAATTGCCTCAAAACTGCTTGCGTCTGTCATTCTCCAGACTGACTGGCACTGGTGAAAGCTAGATTCGTGAAGAGCAAACCGGGTTTCGTCGAGGCCGAGGCTGCATCGACCACATCTTCAGCTTGCGTCAAGTGTTGGAGTACCGCCATGTTTATTGGCGACCCACCGTTGTCGTGTTCCTTGACATAAAACGTGCCTTCGACTCAGTCGATCGATGTGTCTTCTGGGACTGTCTGCTGAGGTAAGGTGTGCCTGATAAATACGCAAACAGTACCAAAGCGCTGTACGCGCATCGTTCGGGTACAGTGAGGGTTTATGGAAAACTGTATCACCAGCGGTGTGAGACAAGGATGCCCGCTGTCACCTTTCTTCTTTAACTTCGCTATTGATGAATTCATGGAATCAGCATTCGCTAGACACGACCTTGAAGGTGTGGAGCTACTTCTTGGTGAGCGACTTCTTGACTTAGAGTACGCGGACGATATTGTCCCAATCTGTGACAGCTCCTAAACATGACAAGCAGCACTGGACCGATTAGCACTGACTGTCTATCGTTTTGGGCTATGCTCTGCTCCATCGAAATGCAAAGTACTTCTTTTGCGCTGACGCTTTGTGGTGATCAGCTAGAAGTCGTTCAGGAATTCAAGTACCTGGGCAGTTGTTTTAGCGCCCGTGGGGTCGAAGATGAGGTTACGAACCGAGGTGCTTTTGCCAATCTCCGCCACATGTGGCGCAGACGCGACATTACTCTTGCTTTGAAGGACAGAGTTTATAACGTAGCCGTCCGTTCAACCCTTCTATATGGTTGTGAAACCTGGCCCATCAGGTTGACAGACTTAAAGAAGCACGTCACATTCGATCATCGCAGCCTTCGCAGCTTAGCTCATGTCTGGTGGGAGCACCGCGTGAGCAATGAGCGTGTTCGGTGTAGCGTATCTGGTGCAGGAAGAGCGAGTGAACCGCTCAGCAGCATTATACCACGCACCAGGCTCCAATGGCTGGGCCATGTGTTGCGCATGTCAGCATACTGACTCCAGCGACGTGTATTGTTTGCGCGCCGGGGGTGCGGTTGGAAGAGGAGGAGGGGAGGCCAAGCGATGAGTTGGTCGAGAGAAAGGAAAACCCTCACTTCGAAGTTGGCGTCGGTTGGTGCATCCCGACTATCTGGCTGGGATCCTAAGGACGATGAACACATTTGGTTGGAGACATTTGCTGATATGGCTAGGAGCCGGCCCCAAAGTCGTTTGCGCTGTGAGTTCCTGTGTCCATCCACCTCCTGTTTAGCATGCCCCTCCAATCACGACCCCACCCGTTAGGCATAATATAACTCTCTTTTTACGGCACGATAGCCGGCTGTTAGCTCTCCGGAACGATGTCCATCCGTTAGGGGGGACTTAGCCGGCGTGACACTGTGGTATTTTTTCTTCTTGTCTTGAGTATTGCGGCACAATAGCTGAGGTGTTTTCCACCTGCAGCTAACGCGTATAATGATGATGATGGAATATTGGGAGTACTGAAATCAGATAACTATGAGATGCAATCCCCTAGCAAGACGGGGTTTGTACACATCTGCATTCGCCGGGCAGAGATAGCATGGCTGCGACTGCAGCTCGGAATGTTAACTGAAATCTTTACCCAGAAGCCACCGAGTGGGGGAGCGCAACACTTGTTACCGCAGCTTTTGGCTGGTTAAAAGGGTCAGTTTGAAGCATGCGTTGTGTGACCGACCTGTACGCTATTGGGCGCATATCCACGTTGCGGAATAGGGAATGTCTTCCTTGTGGAGGTAACTGCGAGTAAGTTTCGTTTGATTTGCAGGCTAGACGAACAAGCAGTCGCGGACAACCAGCGACAGCGTCTCAGAGCGGGGAGGGTTCTGGACTGGTCAAATGGTTCGCCATCAAATAACACAAGAGCTCGTACGGCGCTATGTCAAAGCCAATGCGATCGGCGATAGGGTCACTGATCACCCGCTTCTGTAACCAGAGGTGGGTCCCTAACGGAGGGCAGATGAACAATCTTGCTGGCCACTGGTTTCTGTGGATTACAACAGAACACAAAGAACACGAATGAGCTACTTGGCAAGCAACGGTCTTCGTACTCTGAGACGTGTGAATCTCCCCGCTCCCTTGCGGATCAGAATTTTACGAACAAAGGCGCAGGGTGGGGTCCCTTAAGTCAACCTTCTCCTTTGGCCTGGCCAACCGGTAGGCTCAGTATCTTCGCAACATTTAGACACACGTAAACGTTTTTCATACTGCCTCTATTCTTTTTGTTGTTGGTGCTCATGTGTTATGCCACTTTGCCTATTGTTTACTGGCTACTGCTATATATATATATATATATATATATATATATATATATATATATATATATATATATATATATATATATATATAGTGATAGCACAAGGGCATCATTCAGCTCAGGAGACACCTCCGCAATCCACACGCGTTACACCAACTCGTGCAACGCAGTCACCAACGCGGGTTAGCGTGTTTCAATACTTAAGGCGGGATCCCGTCGGCACCAGCATACTTGCCGGTTAGCAGCTGAGCAAGTGCTTTCTGCGTCTCATCCAGTGTCGGCGTGTTTGCCAAACTCGCCTACACATCGTGCTATTGAGGCCGTTCAATGTACGCCAGTCAATCTCTGAACAGTTGTTCAAGAGACAGTCAGTGTTTCCGCTAGATCTGCATTGTGTCTGCAGTCTGTGTGCAGGTAGTGCCTGAGCTACCATCGATTAGCGTCTTCAGCGGCTCCAACCCCGATCCATACACCACCTTCAGGGAGTCAAAGAATTCTTTGTGTTGGCGGCGTTTGGTGTAGCATTCCATCTGCTTCGCCTTTATCGTGCACCATGCACTTTTAATGCGACGGAACTCCCGAGTCAGTCGCCGTCGAAGTTTGCGAAAATGACACTTTTTCCCCAAGTCACTGGGCCTGCTACATGTGCAGCAAATGCCGCATTTTTCTCCGACACCAATGCGCCAATCGTCGCATTGGTGTCAGCAAACCAATCGGGTCGCTTACAGTTTGCACACCTGGTGGTCTCCTCGGCAGCAGCTGTTACCTGATCGCGAATGTCGTGTCACAGGTCGCCCACTGTGTCTATGCATTCCACACCACACAGGCGTGCAGCCATCGCCTTCCCCAACTCATTACGCTTCTCCATAGTACTGAGGGAGAGAATGTTAAATTTACGCCGGTTCTCGACAGGAATGCAATACATAGATGTACGAAAATATATGTACAGCTTGGTCAGCCTTAACTGGTGATCCGTGCCACACTCAGCTCCATGCAGTACACGTGTCATGCGAACTCCACGCTGACATATGATGGCAGGAGACCCCACGGTGTGCTGAAGCTTGTAATTGCGAGATCCTGACAGATCGTCGACCCGCTACTGCTAATATTGTGTTGTTGGCCCATGTCCTGGACGCCACCTCATGGCGACCGCTGGGTGGGAGTTGGGTTACACCCTTCTTCTAGCTACGATCCAGGACACAATTTCACATGAGTCCGTTCACTGACTCATGGCGCTCGACCCGCTGCCTCTCGGGTGTATATTTTATCGAAAGCTTTGGCTGAGGACACGAATCGTTCTCCTGTCAGGCGCGGGTGCCTTGGCAGTATCCTAGTCCAACCCCCAACCATGAATTACGCCAATAATAATAAATCCATGCTGCATCGGCCGTCGCGCAGTGGCCTTAGGAAAAGGGTCGCCTTATCTGCTGCATACAGCGGGGTGGATAAGCGAAAACATGTTACTGCTGGCGCCTCCATTCTCTCTTCTTCGCATGCAAATACGCTCCCCGTCCCCGTTTCACCTAATCCCCTACTTTCTCCAATCCACGACGTCACTTCACATAGGGTGCCCGCCAATGCAATCGTATGCCTCCGCGCAGAACACTTAACATTGGGTGCTTGAACGTGCGCACGTTGCTCGACCGGAATACGAGTGAGAGTCTTGAAAAACACACTGCACCAGTCGCAATGGAACTGGCACGTTATAACATCGATATTGCGGCGTTCAACGAGTCCCGGCCCGCTGAGCAAGATAAGTTGCATGTAGCTGGTGCTGCCTGTACGTTCTACTAGGTGGGCAACGCCACCTCAGCACCATGTGAACATGTGGTCGGATTTGCACTGTCCGGTAACCAACTGGTGGGTGAACCAGCTGGCATCAGCGCGCGACTAATGACTGTTCGCTTACGACTCGGAAGAGATAAGTTTGCCACTTTTATAAGCACGTACGGTCCGACCATGTGTTATCTTCCGTGATACGGTCTGCGCCGAGGGGCGAGCGACTATTGCTGCTGGGTGATTTCAACGGGCGCGTTAGGCGTGATGCATCGGTGTGGACAGATGTTATCGGTCCGCACAGCATTGGTTCAGCGAATGCGATCGGTGACAGGCTGCTCTCACTGTGTGACGATTACAAACACTCGGTTTGCACGGAGTGCGAGTGATATAGTAACTTGGATGCCCCCACGGAGTGATCACGCTCACTTGCTCGACTAGGTTATAGATATACATATATGTATATATTGCGCTGTGGGATCGCGACACGTGATCCCAATGCGGACTGAGATTTACGAGGGTCATTCAATAAATAAGGTGAATTTTTCGGTATAAGGACTTCTAATACAGATAGAAGCTTACTTTTTGTTTATTTTTGTTGTTTTACTTCTTTTTCACATGGATGTAATTTCTTTTGCAGATTGAAAAAAAACTTTGAGAGTTGTAGCGATTAACAAAGATGGCCGACCAAAAAGCATGCTCCAGGATTGAACAGCGGTCAGTTATCAAGTTTTTGGTTGCTGAAGAGTGCAAACCAGTTGAAATTCATAGGAGAATGTCAACTGTGTATGGTGCCACATGTTTCAGCCGAAAAAATGTCTACAAGTGGGCAAAATTGTTTAAAGAAGGACGGAGCAGTGTTGAGGATGAAGACAGGCCTGGGAGGCCTACAGAAGTGAGGTCTCCTGAGGTGATCGAATCAGTCAATGACCTCATTCAGTCGGACAGAAGGGTGACAGTGGATGACATGGACAATTTTGTGTGCCGCCCCAACAGATAAGCTCAAAGTCCTTGCAATGTCATCCACTGTCACCCTTCTGTCCGACTGAATGAGGTCATTGACTGATTCGATCACCTCAGGAGACCTCACTTCTGTAGGCCTCCCAGGCCTGTCTTCATCCTCAACACTGCTCCGTCCTTCTTTAAACAATTTTGCCCACTTGTAGACATTTTTCGGCTGAAACATGTGGCACCATACACAGTTGACATTCTCCTATGAATTTCAACTGGTTTGCACTCTTCAGCAACCAAAAACTTGATAACTGACCGCTGTTCAATCCTGGAGCATGCTTTTTGGTCGGCCATCTTTGTTAATCGCTACAACTCTCAAAGTTTTTTCAATCTGCAAAAGAAATTACATCCATGTGAAAAAGAAGTAAAACAACAAAAATAAAAAAGTAAGCTTCTATCTGTATTAGAAGTCCTTATACCGAAAAATTCACCTTATTTATTGAATGACCCTCGTACAATATAGTGATTCTTAGTCAATTCCATTACTGGGATAGTAGCTAAAGCAAATGAATATTGGATGTCACAAGTAGCTAGCTATCAAAATACCATTCATTTGCGAAAATGGAAAGTTGCCTCGTGTCAGCAAAAAGCAGCGGTAGGTGAAAGGTCGCCACTCACTCGACGGTGGCCCCTCACCTCTTCCCGGGGAACAATGTCGATTAAGAAATCAAACTGATCCGTGTCTCCATCACTGACTGCCATGGCGATATCGTTGCGTTGTAGAGTACGGCGGCGATTACGTTCCGTGTGAATCCACGCACGTAGAGTCAATTCGCGAATAAACAATTCGGCAGCTTTGGCAAAAAGAATCGGAGCCTCGGCACTGATCATCTGTGAACAGAAGTGAAGTGAGTGAATAGATTAGTGTCTTAATATAAACGAATTAAGGAACAATCAATTCAAAGCATACCTTCCTGGAAAACATTTGCTAATACAATGACTAGCGCTCAGGAATTGCACCGCACCAGTATATAGATTCAGGAAAGAAAAAAATGTGTGCGATTCTATTTGGAGTGTTACAAAAGTTTTAGTGCATCTGCATGAGTAACATACGGACGCGTATGGGCACAGCAGAAATAGTGGCCGCATTGAAAGCAACTGTGCTCCTCCATCATCATCATCAACAGCAGTACATCAGCCATTTGAACTGATGCTTCGCTGCCATACAACCATGAGGACCTATGAAATAAAGAATAAGAAGAGGGAGAGAAGGGGGACTTACCTGAAAACCTTAATGCCCTAAGCAAACATTCAGGGTCAAGGCGCCTACACCTTGTGTAGACAACATACCGTCACAAACAGCTGGCTATCGTGGCTATCGTGCTCCTGGTATTGCTCAACTGCCGACAACAGCATGGAACCAAGTGCCTACTCCGAAATCGCATAAGGGAGAAACATCTCGGTGATCGAACTGCACTGAGGCACTTGTTGTTATATGCGGCATGGACTGTGACGTGTGTCGGGAGCTAGACCAGAGATGAGATCTGATTCGCAACGGAATGGGATAACAAATGACCTGTCGAAGTATAAAAAAGCAGCTGATATCAAAAGCTTTGAGAAAATCTCGCTGCTCCGGATGGATTTGCAGATAATCTCAGACCTATTTTCATCAACAGTCATATTCGTGAAATTGTTACGAGGAGCAACTTCTAAGGAATGAATCACTGAAACAAGCACGAATCAAACTACAACCTTTTTCTAGAAATCAAGTGGAACAATCGCTTTGAAAGATGAAAATGATGTTCTCGTACAATCTAAAAGAGTAGGAGAGAGCAGAAAACATTTTGTAAGGACACCAGGAACAAATAAGCATAGATAATCCGCGCCATGTAATTGTCTCATATCTGGTGGCCATTAAACTAGTACCCGTAACCTTGACTGCTTCATTGACCAATTGGATCGGACCGGTTTTTTCGAACAGCTAATCAGTGGCTCGGTGCGACCTGAGCGACCATAACAGACATATATCTGAACATTTAGTCTACACAAATCCATAGAGTGATAAGTGGCCCAAGAATTTCTTTGCTGTAAACTCTCAAATATTTGAACAAATAGGCACATGCCACAAGGAGTCAACATTCTTGATGGGGCTATTACCGCAGCTTCGTGGTCAGTCGGAGACCTTCGGGGACCACTTCGACTTCCCGAGTATGTTCTTAATGATATAGCAAAATCCAGATAAGTGAACAGTTATATCAATGTATTTCTTTTGTCCGGAGTACAGTTGGAATTGAGGTGTTGAGTTGCTTGTCGAGCCAGTCTATCCCGCTACACGCATTTCAGCACCAATCAATGTGATCAGTCCCGACTTTCCTTAAGGTTAACAACTACCAACAAACTATTCATTAATATATACTGAAGATACCACCTCGGCTGGTGGTGAAACATCTGCGACTTAACTGTAGAGTAAAGCAACATTTCAACTGACAACCAGAGCTACTGCATTTTTCGCGTTATTACTACTAGAACAATTCGCATACACTAAGACACTGCATTGTCCTTCATTCGTCTCACCGAACATCCTTGAAACTGCCCAGCAGTCAGAGTTCTCTTTCTAAACAATCTCCACCACTTACCCATAGGTGGCCATCGTAATCTGTGAAAGTCACCTGCCGGGGGGCCAAGCGCTCCAAAGGCATAAGCCATAAATGAACCCCGATTAATTTGCTCCGCTTACTTCTACAAACTATATCGTCTTTAATTCAAATTGCCCCCCCCCCGCAAATCAAAGTTAATACAACCCGTCCTAGTGACCAGCTGGATGAAATGCCGAATCACTGCCTATAACAGAAGGACCTGAAGTGAAGACGGAACATAAGCAGTATCGCGTTGCAGTTACGCTTCTCTGTTCGCCCAATGTATTCTGTAAGGGTTACTTGCAGTGAGCACGCAACGCATGTGCTTCCCAAGAAAGCGACTATGCATGAATCCTCTATTCTCGTCGCTCCTTCTCATGCATGTCATTAGAGATTAACCACCCCTTACTTTGCAGTGTGATGCTGCCCTACTCGGAGACCGCCCACATACCGAGCCGTTGCACTCTGAGGTACAACAACCGAAGAAAAATTCGTTACGTCAGTCAAATGCAGGTCCAATATATTTTCATAATTTGCTCAATTTATCAAGACCAAAAGAACGAAGGTAAACAATTGTTTACGAGGATTCATCTTCAGACCTGTACAATCAATTTATCCAACAATCACGTCCTACCTAACGATCTGTATCATAAGGCAACTCCTGAATCCGCTAAATGATATTAATCCCATTAAAATGGCTAATCAAGAGATAAACATGAACGATTGTTAGAGTCATCAACCAAGAGTTGCAAACAAACAGCTGAAATACTGTGTCCCCCTTTTAACTAGTAACTGGCCACATAAGATGTTCACAGTTCGATTGATCGCATTAACCCCGAACGTAATAGAATTAGGAACCAAACGTAAGTGAACATGTAGAACCAGCGGTTTCACTTACCTCGTCCGGTGTTGTGTGCACATAAGCGAACGAAGCAAGCAGTTAGATGGTCTTGGTTTTGATTGATCATGATTGTTTGGTTCCCCATGTTCACTTACGCCTAATTCCTGTATGTGTATTGCATTCGAGACTCTGATGAGAGCACTTGAAATGTTATCATATCGCGACTTATGTCGTATGTGCGTAATCGGTAAAAGTTTAATCGACCTGTTACTAGTCACAAATTACTGACCATCTATTTTATTTCATTTCCGAGTAAGGGCTTCCGTTGAAGCCCGCTGCGTGCACACCTGGATCACACGTTAGAAAACCAATGGAGTAACCGAAAAATAACAAAAGAGTTCCTTTCTTTTTACGTCACAGTAGCTGAAGCGTGTTGCTCACCTTCAGCTAATGTGCCATGATACGGTGATAAAATCTATGTGCTTCCAGTGATTGGCATGATTTTATTTGACTCTATATATATTCGTTAGGCTGTTGCTAATGCTACTCATACTAACCAAAGCGGTCAAATCAGGTGAGCACAAATGCATCTGCATCGGACGTGAGAGAATGCTGTAGAAATAGGAAAAGTACCCTGTGTGTTTTGAAACATCAATAGGACCAATGTGGTTTTATGACACTAGCAGTGTATTGACGCTACGCTGCCACGCGAACATCACCGGTCGCGCGTGGACTGAGTATACCGCGAGGATGCCCGCTCCTATGCGGATTCGAATCGGTGATCTTATAACTGCAAGCCAGAAGTGCAGACTACTCGGCAACCGGCCGACAAGTGTAAAATACTGATGCATAGTAGTTGTTGACAATAACGACGGCTCGTAACCAACCGATACAAGTACGCAGAAGAACCAGAGATAAGCGATTAAAGCATAAACATTAAAGCGTAAACATTTCCTTCGGTGAAAACGAAACCGACATTAAAGATATCATTTCTTGGAGTTCCGTCATTTGAGCAAATCGAAATGGCCACTCGACCGGAACAACTGTAATCGCTAGGTATGCTTGAGCTAGCGAGCAATACTGATTGGATGCTTCGAACTGCCCAAAGTTCTGTGTGATATGAAGCAATAAGGGGATGCTGAATGACTGCACCAAGAGTGTAGTGGGGTGCCAATTGCGAAGCCAAATAATCGCAGGCAAGACAAGTACCCAGACGCCCGACAGGTTGTCAAGGCACGTTATCAGTCGTGTCCAGTATCGGTCACTCCTAATAAAAACAACTGTAATTCGCGAACCGAACGAAGCAGCCAAACTTCGCCAGTGATGCATACACAGTGCGAACCATATGTCTGATTAATTTCAGGAACTGGAAAGGGGTCTAAGTTCAAAAATCCCCATCGTGCTACCGAATTGACAACCACTGAACATTAGGGTAGGAAAAAACTCACCATGGATTTAATTTCATCGTCCAATTTCATTATTTTCTTTATCCTCGCAAGGGGCAAATCCTGCGTCTTGAATGCTGAGTGATCGCATTTGATACTTTCTATTTCAAGCCGAACGGTTTCCCAATAGGATAACATCTGGGCCTGACAATCAGTCAGCTGATCCACCGCATACTCCATCCCACTGAAGTAAGATGAAAGATGAGCAAAGTTAGGCATTTGGATGAAGAAAAATCGAGGCTAGGAGGTGATTTGCATGGTCAGATTGTGGTACGGCACCGATGGTTGCAACCAGAAGTGTGCTCCGTAACAGAAGGCAAGATAAGATGAAACGAATGCGTTCGAGATTAGCATGGATGATAGGCGCAGCCAAGAAAAATATATCTACTGCATGTGTTAAGACCACGCTAGAAAAATTTCTCTTTCGAATGACTGACATGTGAGGGAAAGACATCAGCAGTATGCCGGTACACCGTATAAACACTCCGCTGCCACGAAATGATCACCAGTCGCGCGTGGGCTAAGGATACTGCAAAGGTCGCCCGGTCCCAAACGCAGGCTCGAACTGGTGGAATCCGGGTTACAAGACGGACACCTTGCTCGTTTCGCCGTTTCACTGATGCGGCTAGGGGAACACAAATACCATTTGCGCCTTTCCGGTGACCCAGTGACTGCCGCTTCTGCCCAGGCTGGTCTTGCGGTCACTCTGAGTGACAAAGCTGAGCCCGCTCTGCTTGACTGGATCCCAGTCAACAGTCGGCTGTGTGCAGTCAGACTATGAAGTTCACGTAAGTTTAGTAAGCGTCCAGATGGAACACGCACTTCATTTGTCGTCTCCGCCTACGCTCCTACAAACTGCAGCCGGATACAGTCAAGGATTGCATTTATCAACAATTACTTGACCTGCATTCCGCTAAAAAGTCTGATGTTGTCATTCTTGTCAGGGACTTAAATGCACTAACGGGCCGCCTGACACTAAGTGAGCACCATCTTGGGGGCAGTTTTGGATTCGGTAGCAGTCGATCAGCCAATGAAGACAGACTCTTGACTCTTTGTCCTGATCATCGCTTGTTTCTTTCAAGCATCAGTTAACACTCGAAGAAACAGTGCTACCTGGCGCCCGCCTTCTCAAACGCAAAAGTGGTCCCAGCTTGACCACATAGCGATAAGCTACAGATGGTGCAGTAGAGGATCAGAATGCCGTACGTACTGTTCTAGTTGTGCGGATCGGTCGACTGAACCGAAAGCACTCCTGAAATCGAAGAACAGATAGTGTCGGTCAACGGTATGCGTGGCGCTGCTCTAGCACCTACTGCCGAGTAAACAGACGGTCTATACAGCCACATCCTGGTCGGTAACCTGCCTGCGCTTCCATAATCCGAGATTCCCGTTCCACAGTGGGGCGAGGAACGAGAATGGAGGCCAATAATTTTGTCACAACTGATGTTAGGCTAATACCCCTGTGGTTAGAATGGTCTGTGCGACTGCCCTTCTTTTATATTGCCACTATAATCGATTCGCTCTAGTTAGCTGGGACACCCTTCCAGATACGTTCGAATAAAGAGATCAGTGCTTTGTAGAGCACCTCACCTTCATCCTTAAATAGTACATGTGGGAGCAAATCCGGGCCAGCATCACGAAAACGATTGAGAGTAGTGATCGCGTTCCGGTCCTCGGCCTCCGACGCAGGCTTTAAATAACCCGCCCGCAGCTCGTCCTGCATCACATGTGTAGGAAGACGTCTGGGAGCATGGGGTCAGCTGAACTGATCTTAAAAGTGTTCCGCCCAAGGAACTATTTGGCGCTCCTTACTGTGTATCAGTGCACCCGCGCTGTCTCTGAATGTCTCATTGAGGCCTAGTTTCCTGGGAGCAGTGGTGCAGATCAGTTGGAAGAGCTTGCGATAATTGCCTACTGCTCCTGCCTCTTCCATTTTTTGAGCCCGAGTGGTTCACCTGGCTTCCTCGTCAGCACGTACGCTCAGCTTTAGTTCACGCCTAATAGCCCGTCTGGTCACATTGTGCTCAGAGCCAGCCGGGAGGTTTCTCCTAGAGTTCAACAGGTTCGCCGACCTCTCGGATATCCAGTGACTGGTACTGTGACCATTGACAGTGCCACAAGCAGATGCTCCCGCGTCGTGCATGGCGGTCGAGATCCTATTACACTGATGCTTATTGTCATTAGGACAAGACAGTGAAAGTTCAGTACTCAGTGCGTCTAGATAGGCTTGCCTGACGGAGGGCTGACACAATTTATCAGTTGCCAATCGGAGGAGACACTTGGTGGGAATACCAGTAAAGTTCATGGGGAAATGACAGCGTATCGAGGCATGAACAGTCGATGCAGGTAATCCATTGACCAACCTGGTAGGAGTTGATCTCAAAGAAGCCGGACATACCCAGTATAGCTCAATGGGTCAAGGAGGTATGCAAACCATCGCACCATGTAAAGGTCCATTCTCGTGCGACGGACTGCCCGCAAACCAGGTAGCCACTGGTTAAATTGGCACAAAACCGCCAAAACCTTCAGTGGCTTGCCGTGGTCGCATGTACGTATTTAACTAGGGTCGTAAAACAGATACGAATTGTTCTACTACTTCAAAGACTGTGTGTGACAGACCCCAAGCAGATCCCCCACGGGTCTCTATAATCACTCCAGAGCAGCACTTACTCCCCACTACCTTGAGGGTCAGGTTACTGAGTCAAAGGCTGCGGACGGAGTTCCTCAAACAAAATTCCAAACAACCCACTGCCTTGTGCATCAGGCTATTGAGCCAATGGCTCCAGGTGGAGTCCCTCAAGCAAATCTCCGGAGCACAACAACCACCGCGCGTGCGATTGTCCACCAATGCAATCGTATTCCTGCGCAAAGCATTCAAGATCGGGTGCTGAAACGTGCGCACACTAGTGGACCGAAACCCGAGTAAGCGTCCCGAGCGGCGCACTGCACCAGTCGCAATTGAAGAGGCACACTACAACATAGATATTGCAGCGCTCAGCGAGATCCGGCTCGCTGAGTAAGTGAAGTTGCAGGTAGCTGGTGCGGTCTGTACGTTTTACTAGGTGGGCAACGCCACCTCAGCACCACGTGAACATGTGGTCGGATGTACACTGTCCGATGGCCAACTAGTGGGTGAACCAACAGGCATCAGCGCGCGACTAATGACTGTTCGCCTACGACTCGGAAGAGGTAAAGCTGCCACTTTTAGAAACATGTACGGTCCGACCATGTATTATCCTGATGGCACGCGTGATCAATTCTACACTGAGCTCTCCTCCGTGATATGGTCTGTGCGGAGGGGAAACCGACTATTTCTGCTAGGTGACGCTCAACGCGCGCGTTGGGCGTGATGCATCGGTGTGGACAGATGTTATCGGTCCGCATGGCATTGGTTCAGCGAATGCGAACGTTGACAGACTGCTCTCACTGTGCGCCGCTCAAGGCGTGACGCGCAAGAACACTTGGTTCGAACGGAGTGTGAGTGATGTAACAACTGGACACACCCAAGGAGTGGCCACGCTCACCTGCTCGACTATGTCGTCGTACGCTAGAGTGACATGCGTGAAGTGCGCATGACACGTGTTACTGTGTAGAGCTGAGTGTGGCACTGATCACAAGTTGGTGTGGACCAAACTGTACATACATTTTAGTAAATCTATGTATTGCACTCGTGCCGTGAACCGGAGGAAATACAAGGTTTTTCCCAGGGTACGGTGGAGAAGATAGAGTTGGATAAAGCGATAGCTGCACGACTGTGTGATGTGGAATGCATAGCAAGAGTTAGCGAGCCGTGGCTTCACAATCGCGACCAGGTGACAGCTGCTGCGGAGAAGACCATCAGCAGTGCAAACTGCAAGCGGCCCGATTGGTTTGAGGATAACAATGTGTGACAGACCCCAGTCATTTGGAGGAGTTAATTTCGAAGAATTCGACGGTAAATGAGAGCTCCGTCGCATTAAAAGTGCATGGTGGACGGTGAAAGTCAAGCCAGAAATGTTACGCCGAATACCGCCAACACAAGGAATTTCTTCACACCTTAAAGGCGGTGTATAGACCAATGTGGGAGCCGCTGAAGAATCTAATCGATGCTACATCAGGAGCTACCTGTAAGCAGACTGCAGACATAATGCAGATCTAGGGAAATCACTTTGATAATCCCTTGAACAACTGTTCAATGATGAACTGGACTCTGTTGCACGGGCTGCAACAGCAAGAGATGAAGACGTGTCTTGCCGACACACCGAAACTGGATGAGACGTAGAGAACACTTGCTCAGTTGCGAAAACGCCAATGTGCCGGTGCCGACGGAACCATGCCTGGAGTATTGAAACATGGTGGACTCGCGTTGGTGAATGCGCTGCACCACTTGGTGCAACGCGTGCATTATGTAGGTGCCTCCTGAGTTGAAGGATGCCCTTGTGCTACCGCTGAACGAGGGCAAAGGGAGCAAGCAATGTAGCACGAATAGCCCTACCATCGGGATCACGACAACCATGTGTACTACTTAATCGCCTCCTTCAGTTGCTGCCATCACCACGACGAAGAGTTTCTCCTGCTGAAGCTACTTTATCAACATGCAAATCTCCCGCCTCCGATCCGGCGACGATCTCTGACGTACTCCAGCCTCCCTCTTGTTCACTGTGCTCGAGGACGTTTAAATGTAGGAGCGGCCTGCGGCGCCATTTGGCTGCCCATCTCAGGAACCCTACGAGTTTACTTACCACAGCCGCTGCCGGGAATACTTCCAGTTTCGAATGCCCAACATGTCACCGTACGTTTACGACTAAAAATGGCCTGTCTCAGCATTGGAGACATCAGCATCCTGTCAGTTACAATGCAGACTGTCTAGCCCGACTATCGAGGCAATCTTACAACTGGACAGCCAGGGATGACAAATCCCTACTTTTAGCAGCCTCACGTTTTGCGGTTACGTCTCCTTCCTTAAATATCCTTTTAGAACGACTGAGGCGCGTCTTCCCCTTTCGCACCAGGGACGGTATCAGAAAACGCTTGCAACGACTTAGATGGTTCTTTCATCAACACCACACAACGTCCACTTCCAGTGCTTTTCCGCAACCATTGACTGAAACCAAACATCCAATCACGCTTACAGATGGAACCGTACGAGCTTCACCCTTCTCAACCATAAAGTCCGATGAATTCCATCAACCTCAGCCTATATTAA